TCGGCTGCTTGGTTGTGATTTAAAAAAAAAACTTTAACAAACAAAAATTGCTCCGAACATTTGCCTAAATTAACTTAATAAAGAAATGAAAGGAAACATAACTTCTTTGCCATTGAAAACAAAACTGAACTATTTTAATGGCTGCAACAGTAGTATAGGGCAGGCTGTGTAATGGAAAAAAAAGCGGGCTCCAGTCGGACTCGGGACGAGAATTCTGATGAGCTGTCGGACACGGGCCGGGCTAGGGCCTAGATTTGAGGCCCGTGCAGGGCTTTAGTTGTCAATACCTCCAGATGACCCAGAGGTCAAAGTGGAATGCACGGCACATGCATGCATAGCATTATTAATCCTTTCACACTTGAGTTTAAAATATTCCAACTGAGTGACATTGCTGAAACTGATATGCATTTCAAGATGCACAGAAACTTCATCCAGAGACAGGATACAGCATAGCATATTACAGCACATGGCCCAGTTGTTCAAAAAGAAAAAATGATTCTGAATTTAAATTAGAACATGATGTAGTCCACTCTTGGTTTTGATATGAATCAAACATTCATTATGTGTTGTTCAAATGTTTTTAGAAGGATATATTTGATTCAGGAAAGTTTTATAATCCTGATCCCAGCAGAAAGGTGGTTTCAGGGAGTATTTCAGGAACTGTTGTGTTTCCATTACAGATTTGCGCAAAACTTTTGCGATTTTTTCTAACTGTCGATAAAAAACTATTGCGAAATGACGGCGTTTCCATTAACTGATATTATGCGACTAAAACGTCTTTTTTTCCTCTCGCGATAAGTCATTCCAAAAATCATGCCAACGGACATTGGTAGGTTTATAGCCTATATCACAGCAACCGCACTAGACATTATTATTATTATTAATAGAAGGACGTGGTGTGTTATCCAAGCATTAATGGCAGTGAAAGGCATATAGGCTAGCCTAAGGAGTTCCTGGGTGTTTCTCCCTCATTTCTGCTCCGAGGTCTTGATTGTGGCATTTTTTTGAGGTTTAGAATCCAGTATTCCCGTAATTATTGTTTCTTTTATGAATTTAATAAAGAACTAGGCCTATGTCTCATATTATGTCCAAACGGTCAGTGTACTTTTGTGTCCATTCGTTTTTCCTTATTTAACCCGTAATTGCAAAACGAAAAATTAACGGTTGTTGTATTTTTAAAACGCAAAGTTGAACACCAAAATTTTAATTTGAACTGTAGGCCTACACACCAAATGCTGCGCAAAAAAAATATATATATATAGACGAATTTTCAGATTTTTGTTTATGACTTTTTGCCCCTTTATTAAACATTTAAAATATTCACAAATTATTATGACATTTTTTTTTTTTTGACTGGTTTTCAGGCCAAATTAGAACCGCAGTGCAAATTAGATATTTTTCCCGTAGTGCTGAATGAGAAGAGCCATATAACCACAGCCTACAGAAAGGTGATTTATAGGTGAGTTATAGGCTATAATAAATGTGTCTTAAAAAATAACGAGGCATTTTAATTGTTTATTAATAAACTATTGTTTTCTAAATCAGTGTCGGCTAAAAACATATCTCCGCTGTAAGGCGGATGCGCCTTTAGAGAGAAATGCACCTTTCATACGGATTACATAATCAGAAGGTATTAGCATTCGATTCGAATTGGTTCGTGGACATTTCAAGCTTTAGCCTACATAGGCAATATTTTGTTTCAGTTCACGGAGATCATGAAACCGCGCTTGATTGTTTTATTTTATTTTACAAAAGCACGTTTTCTTGTTATTGTGAGTTTACACAAATAAAAGTAGTTGCGAATAATGTATTATTATTTTCTGTATGACCAGAAATGAGTATTTTAAGTTGTTTCCACTGTTGATAGGAAAATTCAAAAGTTCACACCCGCGCCTCCCTGCCATGCAGTGCGCGCTCCACACTCCGCACAAACACGAATTACATGAATGACGTGACAAATTGCTTTGTTCCTTTTTTGGATAAAATCGTCTTCTAAATATGTAGCCTAAAAAATTTTATAATAATGTGATAATTATTTGCGGACACGGACCCCAAACACACCGCGTCTTCTAAGTCAGGTGACTGTAAATGCGCAAAAACTGTTTCCATTGCAGTTTTGCGAAATATTCCTTTTTCGAATTGCCTGAAAAACCACCTCATGCGAGCGTAAAAACGTTTTTGCGATAAACGAGAGTTTTTGCGAAATGGACGTGTTTCCATTGTGCATATTTTCAATTCGCAATTTCAATTTGCGCAATTTGAAGGGTAATGGAAAGAAGAAAAAGGTCCCCATAAAACAACACTGAAACAGCTTTTAATATCAAACAAAAAGTATATATTTAATTCTAACTTATATTGCATGTAGGCCTACTTTGTTCAGACGGTTTCAAAGAAATTGAAAATGGAAGGGGATGTTTGTATTATTTTATTGTTCTGTTTTGCTTCAAATACAAACACTTCAAGTGATCCCACTCTGACAACTCTACCTGTTGTTCTTTAATGTTTGTTTGAAAAAAAAAGCCACATGGATTACCTGATCCTAGATATTAATCATGGGTTTTGAACATCAGAGCCCTGAATAGAAGCTAAACATAATAATGAGCTATTATCTTTTACTACCTCAGACAGTCCCACCATAATTTCACAGGATGATTTTTTTCTCAGATGTTTGCAGCCTAAAATGACTGCACTTGCTGCGTTTATTAATTTTTGAGATTATTCAGAGGAAAAAAAAGATTAAAATAAAAACTTAAAATAACCTAACTGCACAAGTGGGCACACACTTGTATAACTCGGTATGTGGCTGAGTTCAGAATTAATTAATCATTAAGCTTAATTTGAAATGTACACACTTGTCTTCACCTGAAGTAACTGGTTACCTCCAAATAAATCTAAACTTGTAAGATTTTTCTGACATCTTGTTTGCACAATACTACAAGAGCAGTTGTCCACAAAGAGCTTACAAAACAACAATGGGATCTCATTGCTGAAAGGTATCGTTCAGGTGAGGGCTACAAAAAACTTCCCAAGGCATTAGATATACCATGGGACACGACACATTATCAGGAAGAGGGCGTTCCTCCAAAATTGATGAGAAGACAAGGAGAAAACTGGTTAGGGAGGCAGTCAGGAGGCCTGCTGCAACATTAAAAGAGGTGCAGCTCTTTCTGGAATGTACTGGTTGCTTCCTAGGGCCTAGGTGACTATTTCCCATATTCTCCATCTGTCTGGGCTATGGTGCAGGGTGGCAAGATGGAAGCCTTTTCTGACAAGACAAAAAAAAAACCAAGCCCAGCTAAAATGCACTATACATTATATCCAGTCACGCAAAACCATGTGGAAAAATGTTATGTCTGATGAGACCAAGATTAAACTTCTTGGCAAAAATTGTAAAAGGTATGTTTGGAACAAAAACAACACAGCACATCAGCAAAAGAACACCATAACCACAGTGAAGCATGGTGGCTGCTTTTCTTCAGCTAGAACTGGGACTTTACTGAAGGTGGAGGAAATCATGAATAGCTCCAAGTACCAGTCAATTTTGACACAGAACCTTCTGAACAACACCCCAATGACAAAAAATAATGCAAATTTTAAAAGAAAGATTGCAAGATTAAAGTGTAAGTAGCTGGTTAATCTTATGGATTGAGACATTTTTTAGTAATAGGCCCCAATGAGTCGGTGTTAACAGAATCTTATCTGATTGTATAGTCTTAAAGTCTCAGGGTTCCCACAGTGATGTGTATTATCATCTCTGCTTTTCTCTGTTTATACTAATGAACTTCAATGTAACAGGGAAGATCTCACTTTAATCAAATACGCTGATGACTTGGTTTTAATTTCTTGCCAAACAGACATAAATTGTTATTTTGAGTATATTAAAAGTCTTGTACAATGGTTTGATAACAGTCATCTAGAATTGAACATTGAGAAGACAAAGGAATTATGCTGTAGGAATCAAAATAGGACAGGTACAGCTGGCCTCCCATATGAACAAGTTATTATAAAAGGTGTAAAGATAGAGCAAGTTTCAAATTTTAAATATTTAGGTACAATTATTGATGACAAACTCTCATTCCAGGAAAATGTGGACCATATACATAAGAAAACAAGACAGAGTTTAGGTCTACTCAGGAAGTTAAGAAATTTTAGTATTGATAGGAGGATCCTAAATATTGTTTACAGATCGATGATCGCAAAGTGTTAAAGATGAATTTCTGTCCAGGACATCTGAACAGACAATAAAGTCAAACTAACATAACATTATGACAGCATGACAACACTTCAATGATAGCAAGACATCACTCCAAAACACATCTAATTATCAAAAAAAATGGCTTCAACAAAGAAAGATACATTTTTTGGAATGGCTCAGCCAGAGCCCAGACCTGAATCCTACAGAAAATCTGTGGAGGGACCTGAACAGGCCTGTGCACAGGAGAAGCCCTCGCAATTTAACAGATCTGGAATGTTTTTGTAAAGAACAGTGGGAAAATATTCCCAAGTAAAGATGTGCCAAGCTGATAGACATCTATCCAAACAGACTGAGTGCTGTAATAAAATCAAAAGAGTGCTTCAGCTAAGTATTCATTCAGGGATGTGATGTTTTTTTCTCTCTCTGAAATGTCACTTTGGTATTCAGTGGCAATGCCTAGTGTGTAATTTTTTAATTAAAGGTACATTAAGTTCTAATATTATTTATCTTGGTTTAATTTTTTACATCACAAAAAACAGCTGCCTAAACATGGATTTGCAGACTTGTTATATCCAGTGTAAATATAGCAGTTTAACATTAAAACTTTAGTAACTTCCAAAAAACATCCTGTGTGCTTGTGCACAAATAAAACAAATTATTTTTTGTTAGTACTACAGGACACAGTGAGTGTATATTAGCAGCATTTGTTGTTTGTTTTTGGGATCTGATAAAGAATTTGGACCCATTAACAGTGTCTATCTGGTTGTTAAGTCTGACGTCGTGGATCACTCTATGTGTCACTTACAGAGCAAGGACCAATCCAGAAGTTCTCCTGCTGCACATGCTTTACACTCTCATAAATTCCTTTGTTTCTCAGTACCTTAAAAAAAGAGGGGGGGGGGGGGGGGGGGGGGGGGGGAAATGGAATGGATAATGGGCAACCAAATGTATAATAAACAGTTTTGTAATTGCTCACACTCTTGTGGAGTTACACGTCAAGTCAAGTCACCTTTATTTATATAGCGCTTTTTACAATACATATTGTATAAAAGCAGCTTCACAGTGATAACATGAAAATAATACAACAAAGTTTGTTTCTAGAAGAAAATTGCGTCAACGTCCACCTTAAGTAAGGCAGATCAATAATATTGTTGAATATTAAATGTACCCAACTAAGCAAGTCAAAATATCAGAGCACCCCCCCCCCCCCCACAGAAAGAGCTGCATAATGTCCGACATAACAGATGTAAAAATGGACTGTTATATAATTACATAATATATCTTCCTATAGCTTAGAGGTCTTCTAAACACTCTTTTTGTTATCTTACCAGCTGAGTAGTGGTATGCTGGGCAAAGCCCACAGGAGCAAATCCATATGTAATGCAGGCCAGCAGTGTTATGACAATATGCACAAAGGTGATCCAGTAGGTAAAATATGGCCTGACAAAGAAACAATTAATGATCACATCTTTCTCTGAATAGTTTAAAAACAACATCTAAAGGCCCTTTCACACCGGACGCGTAACGAAAAGGCGAAACGGAAAAGCGAATAGTTCGCGTCAAAACCATTCACATCAGCCGCGACGCGAATTTGCGACGTTCAGAGCTTCAACATTCCAAAACTTTCGCGCCGACAGCTGAGAAAACACGGACACTTCATCATCATCATCATCCAGTGAAGACGAGCTTTTCGTTTTCTTTATAAAGACAGAAAAGAAGGTTTTGTGTGCACCCAATCTTAAAGAACAGAGAGTCTGAAGGGGAGTATGCTAATCTTGTAAAGTAGCTAAAACTTTGCCACAAAGAACCGGCCAAAGTAAGCATTATGCATTAAACATTTGAATTGTTTATTAATAAAGTGTTTTCTGTCAGTTTTCGGTATGAGACGCGCTCCAGTTCACGCGCCGGCGCCTCCGTAGCCTAATTATATTGTCTACTATATTTGCTTCTTATTCCTATTAATCCAGGCAATTTGTTGATAAAACATTGATTAAAATTAAGATACAATTTATACAAAACGAAATTCACTTTAAAGGAAGGCTTTCTACAAAACAAAACTTAATAAGTGGTCAAAATTATGTCTGACCCATTCCAAATGTTTTCGATATATTGGGCATCTTATGATCCTTACTCATCTCATGCGGTTCCCTTTTCATATAGATCATCAACATAGATGAAATAAAAAAAATTGCATTATATTATTTAAACGTATATATGAAACGTATGTTTTGTTTGAGTTTTTTAACTTATGGGCCTATTTAAGCGTCACCCCGCTCTGCTTTATTTACGCTCATGCTCTGGTGTGTGGCCTATACATGCATGCAAAAATAATATGAAACACACAACCATTAATGTTGAAAATATTCCAAATCAATTATTTCCCTCCTAGTCAAAAATATTATAAATCATCAGCACGCACTTCATCAACTTGCCGGAGACACCAACTATCCCAGCTATTTTATCCCATGCCTCGTTCTTTTGCTGGTAAGAAACACCGCCATGTCATAAATGATAGGGTATGCGTGCGTTGAGATGAGGAATAGGCAATATAAAAATGCTGTCATTATAAAAGGTTTCTAGTTTCAATGTATTGCTTGTTTTTAGTTTACATTTCATGTTGTGACACTTCTCTTCTCTCGCACATAATGCTGCTACGTCAGAGCAGCCAAAGCGTCAACAAGCTTCGCCTTTGTTTCCTTGTATGTGATTGGCTGAAGCCTTTTCTGTCGCCGCAAAAGTAAAAAGAAATTGACATCGAAGCGAAAAAAGAAAACTCTTTTTTCTGCCGCAGCACATTCGCGTTCGGTGTGGAAGCACTCATTACACAAACAGCTGATCAAAAAATAAAACTATCGCGCGAATTATTCGTGCGTCAAAATCGCGTCCAATGTGAAAGGACCTTAAGGCTGCGAAGTTCCTGGTGATTTTGAGGAGCCTAATTGGGTTTTCTTACTCACCGATGACTGTGAAAATCTTCTAGTTGTTTCTGTACTTGGCTGCTGAGGCTGCCTCTATAGTGTCGGTTCAGCCACTTCCCCACCACACCCATCCCATACTGACGCTTCTGCTTATCAAACGCAAAGTGCTTCACTTTGGAGGCAATTCGACCGCCACGATGAGAAGAGGCTTTCCTAGAGGATGTCACAGTTTTGGGGATATTCTTTTTTCCTCTGGAGAAAAAGAGAAAAGGAATGGTAGGATTAAATCAGGTGAGTACTAAAGTGAAAAGCTACTGAATAGGCTTTGTAAGGCATGTTATAATTGTGTACTGTCATAATTTAAATTCTTTAAAACATCTGCTTTTAACTTACAAGCTGGGGAATAATATTCCCTCGCCCAAAGAAACATTTGCCACAGGACAAGAAGCTGATAAAGGAGGTGACTCAAAAACATCATCTGCCATAGAATAAAGCTCCTCATGAACATCAACCTGTGAAAGAGAGGAACAGAGACATTCATTAAAACGTGTACACATTATCTATCTATCTGTCTGTCTATATAATAAATATATATATATATATATATATATACACACACTCACCTAAAGGATTATTAGGAACACCTGTTCAATTTCTCATTAATGCAATTATCTAATCAACCAATCACATGGCAGTTGCTTCAATGCATTTAGGGGTGTGGTCCTGGTCAAGACAATCTCCTGAACTCCAAACTGAATGTCAGAATGGAAAAGAAAGGTGATTTAAGCAATTTTGAGCGTGGCATGGTAGTTGGTGCCAGACGGGCCGGTCTGAGTATTTCACAATCTGCTCAGTTACTGGGATTTTCACGCACAACCATTTCTAGGGTTTACAAAGAATGGTGTGAAAAGGGAAAAACATCCAGTATGCGGCAGTCCTGTGGGCGAAAATGCCTTGTTGATGCTAGAGGTCAGAGGAGAATGGGCCGACTGATTCAAGCTGATAGAAGAGCAACTTTGACTGAAATAACCACTCGTTACAACCGAGGTATGCAGCAAAGCATTTGTGAAGCCACAACACGCACAACCTTGAGGCAGATGGGCTACAACAGCAGAAGACCCCACCGGGTACCACTCATCTCCACTACAAATAGGAAAAAGAGGCTACAATACGCAAGAGCTCACCAAAATTGGACAGTGGAAGACTGGAAAAATGTTGCCTGGTCTGATGAGTCTCGATTTCTGTTGAGACATTCAGATGGTAGAGTCAGAATTTGGCGTAAACAGAATGAGAACATGGATCCATCATGCCTTGTTACCACTGTGCAGGCTGGTGGTGGTGGTGTAATGGTGTGGGGGATGTTTTCTTGGCACACTTTAGGCCCCTTAGTGCCAATTGGGCATCGTTTAAATGCCACGGCCTACCTGAGCATTGTTTCTGACCATGTCCATCCCTTTATGGCCACCATGTACCCATCCTCTGATGGCTACTTCCAGCAGGATAATGCACCATGTCACAAAGCTCGAATCATTTCAAATTGGTTTCTTGAACATGACAATGAGTTCACTGTACTAAAATGGCCCCCACAGTCACCAGATCTCAACCCAATAGAGCATCTTTGGGATGTGGTGGAGCGGGAGCTTCGTGCCATGGATGTGCATCCCACAAATCTCCATCAACTGCAAGATGCTATCCTATCAATAAGGGCCAACATTTCTAAAGAATGCTTTCAGCACCTTGTTGAATCAATGCCACGTAGAATTAAGGCAGTTCTGAAGGCGAAAGGGGGTCAAACACAGTATTAGTATGGTGTTCCTAATAATCCTTTAGGTGAGTGTATATATATATCTGTCTATCTCTCTCTCTCTCTATATATATATATATATAGATATATAGATATATATATTCAGTCAAGAGCTAAACAAATATCTTTGAGTAAAATTTTCAACAAAAAAAAACTTTTGTTTGACAGTGTCACTTTCGCATACTTTCATAAGAGTACTTATGTAAATATACTTTTTAAAATAATAAGCGTTAAGTGCAAACAATGTAAAAAAAAATTACACTTAAGTGCATGCTTTTTGGAATAAATTAAAAATGTATTATAGTTTAAATTGAAAATGAATCCAATTAGTTAAAGTGGGTTATAAAAGCACTCTTAAGGAAACCTTTTCATGTAACTTCACAATTCTATTGTCTTTGAAATATGGTTGAAGTATCTTGCCAAAGGTACCGACAAGCATTTAGTCAACACATCAAAACAGGTGTGACATAAAAAGGTTATTAAACTAATTATTTAAAATGTACTTTAAGGTAAAACGTTTAATTTATTACAAAGTGCAATTTTGCAATACATATTTGTGTTAATAAACAGTCATGAATGTGTACTCTGAGCAGACTTAAGTAGCATTTTATTTCATTAATATAATATTATCTGCAAGTGCAGTTTTCAAAACAAAATATAGGCTACTTATAAGATTTGAAGATTTCAATACAAGTAAGCACAGAGGAGAGGAAAAGATTGGAGACAAACCCAGATAAATATACGCACTTTGCTAAAAAAAACTAAATCAGAGGTGTCCACTGTATCCACAGTGTCTTCCTCGAGCCAGCTGTGCCGAGCAAAACTCCTCCTCTGAAATCCACGTCCAGTTTGAGTGCCCTGTAGACCCTGTCGACCCTACAGGACCATAACATGTCAGGAGAGGACAGTTACCACATGACAACTTTTATTCCAATATAATACAAAAAGACAAAAAAAATAATAATAATATTTGAGCTCAGCCATTTAGCCATAATAGAACTGGACAATTCATATATAATGATCAAAGAGGTACAGTATATACTCATTACTAATTTATCATAATCATGCAGGTGATTGTTCACCTTAAAATGAAAAGTCATCATTTACTCGGTTTTGTTCCAATGTAGTATTGCCTTTCTTTCCTTTTTGGATCACAAAAGGAGAATAAAAAAAAAGAAAATGTCCCACTCACGCTCGTCCATATAATGGCAGTGAAAAGTGACCAGCATCAAGCTTTTTAAAAAGAGGCAAAAGACGCACAGAATGATTCCATGTGATCCATGCCAAATATAAGTGTTGTGAAAAATAAAATGAAATGTATTAATGTATTATTTAATGTATTTAAAGAAAATCCTGACCTTGGCCAATGGTCTTCTATGCACAGCTACGTGATGTGCGCGTTCGGTGAGACTCTATTAGTGCCGCAGTTCACTCCATGAACTACATGACATGAAATACAATGCCTAGAAATCCCCAAAAAGAATTTGTGTACTTTCTTCAGTGAGTTAAATATCTCTGGACCGGAACTCCTTTTTTCTGATTAAAGTAGAATGACAGTTGACAAATGTGAGCGCAAAAAATTCTTGTTACGATGAAGTAGGACAGCTCGATTGTGGCAAAAATCATAATGACGATTATTTTGGTGATTACTGATTCAAGATTACTGGTGGGCGATTTGATCAAGTGTTCTTTCATAATATGAGTATTTTTCGATATAGGTAAAATTTCACAATTATAGATAAGCTACTTAAGCAAAAATGTAATACTAATGTCAATACAAAACAGTCAAAAAAGTCAAAACAGTTACAGAAGACAAGCAAACAGTCAGCAATACAAGAACAAAGAAACTAATTACAAACTAAATTGACAAATAAATACAAAAGATAAAATATAGCTGCGAGCAGCGATTACGGGCCCAAGCCGGTGGCACCGGCTTGGGTGCCACCGGTTACCTTAGTTACCTAAAGGCACCGGGGTGGCGGTACCGCCGGCTTTGGCCCGTAATCGCTGCTCGCAGCTATATTTATATATATATATATATATATATATATATATATAAAGCCGGTGGCACAGCCACCCTGGTGCCTTTAGGGTTATTGTGCACGACGTGACACAAAATATCTGCTGGCTATCTGCCGAACAGCTCTGGTAGTTCCACTTCAGCACTGATGATGTTGTAGAAATAGTGCGCTCTGGTTGGTCTGGATTATTCGGGATTTTTTATTTTATACAGAAATAAATTATTTATAATTCAGATGAGAATAAAGTTAGTGTTGATTAAAATGAAGGAAAACAAATATATTGGTCTGAAATATAGCACATTAATTTTAAATTTATTTAGGTTCAATTACCAAACATACAATCTTAATTTAATTTAAAGCAAACAATACGTTTAAAAGATATGGGTTGTATGCACTTTTTTTTTAATAAAAAAAAAGATATATATCCAAAAAGACAAGGCCTTAAAGGGTTAAACTCTTGTCACTGTAACAGACACAATCTCTCTCTCTCTCTCTCACACACACACACACACGTCAAGTCACTTCCATTTTAGATGCAATATTGAATAAGCAGAAAAATCGGATTTTCTGCTCTGAAAATATAAATAAGCATAAAAATTGAATAAGCACTTTTAATATTCTAAACAGAATAAGCACTAGTCGCTAATGAATAAGTACTAGTACTTAATGGAATAGATACTAGTATCTAAAAAATAAGTACTAGTAGCATGAAAATAGAGACTAGTAGGTTAAAATGATAAAATGTTAAAACGGCTTGCCATATTGGCTCAGAGAGAGAGAGAGAGAAAATGACCTTTTAGATACTAGTACCTATTAATAGATACTAGTATTTATTCAATAAATACTAGTACTAAGTCATTAGATACTAGTACCTATTAAATAGATACCAGTACTTAAAAGTTTTGTAACTGTAGATGAAACTAACCCCCCCACTTTTGTCAAAAGGTGGCGCTACTGAGTCCCTGCACCACGCCCGTTTCTGAAACTTCGCACATGTCTACTGGCTAATAAATGTGATCTGTCTGTCGAGTTTCATGCAATTTCAAGCAATTTCAGGCATGCTAAGAGTCTCAAAAGCATCCTAAAAGAATTTTAAAGTTTGATGCGTTGCCACGGCAACAGTATCAAAGATATCAATAATCCTTTCACAGGTCTACATCTGCCGTGTATTTACATTATACAGATGAAGTTTGAAGCAAATCGGGTTAAAATAAGAGGGTGATTTCAAAGCATTTTGAAAGTGACACACTTCCTGCTGCCAGTTGGTGGCGCTATAACTTTGACTCACAATAGTCACATCCATGTGATCGGCCTCTTACAGCGAACACACTGGTGAAGTTTCATTAAGATCAGCTAATGTATGCTGAAGTTATAACACACTTCCTGTTTCACGTTTCTCGCCATAAATTCGTTTCCTCGCCACGGCCAAACCGTTCGAGATATCAAAAATCCCCTGGCAATTTTTCATCCTCAATGTCTTGACTTCATGCTGACCGAGTTTCGTGGCATTTCTTTGAATTCTCTAGGAGAAGTACTTTAAATTCCATTGCATGTGTTTAACAAACAACCCTAAATAGCCGACTTCCTGTTGGGCTGGGGTAAAAAGTAAGAGCATGAAGTATATATGAACCGATGAGATCTATATGTGTACCGAGTTTCATATTATTACATGCAAGTGTGTTTGATTTATGGACCAAGTTTTCGGACCCCGTTCCAGGGGGCGCTGTCGAGCCCCCCTGCCACGCCCGGGTACCTTCTTCAGCCCGGCCCTGATGGTCGCGGGTTCTGACCTGTGTGCAAAGTTTCAAGAGTTTTCGAGCACGTTAAGGGCCCCAAAACCTTGAAAAACAATTTTAAAAGCATTTTCACTCAACAGACAATCCCCTCACCCCACACACACACACAGATGCAGAGACATAGAGAGAGGGAGGGAGAAAATCCTCCTGAAAATCACATTCAAACCAAAATATCTGACTTCCTGTCGATCCGAGCTAGTGAGTGTAAATTAGAAAGTTGTCCGGCTCGAGGAGAACAATATACGTGCCTATTTTTGTTACTGTAGGTAAAACTAATACCCCATTTTTGACTAAAGGTGGCGCTACTGAGCCCCTGCACCACGCCCGTTTCTGAAACTTTGCACATGTCTACTGGCTAATAAATGTGATGTGTCTGTCGAGTTTCATGCAATTTCAAGCATGTTAAGAGTCTCAAAAGCATCAACAAAGAATAATAAAGTTTGATGCGTTGCCACGGCAACAGTATCTAAGATATCAATAATCCTTTCACAGGTCTACATCTGCCGTGTGTTTACATTATACACATAAAGTTAGAAAAAAATCGGGTAAAAATAAGAGGGTGATTTCAAAGCATTTAGAAAGTGACACACTTCCTGCTGCCAGTTGGTGGCGCTATAACTTTGACTCACAATAGTCACATCCATGTGATCGGCCTCTTACAGCGAACACACTGCTGAAGTTTCATCAAGATCAGTTAATGTATGCAGAAGTTATAACACACTTCCTGTTTCCATTATTCGCCATAAATTCGTTTCCTCGCCACGGCCAAACCGTTCGAGATATCAAAAATCCCCTGGCAATTTTTCATCCTCAATGTCTTGACTTCATGCTGACCGAGTTTCGTGGCATTTCTTTGAATTCTCTAGGAGAAGTACTTTAAATTCCATTGCATGCGTTTTACAAACAACCCTAAATAGCCGACTTCCTGTTGGGCTGGGGTAAAAAGTAAGAGCATGAAGTATATATGAACCGATGAGATCTATATGTGTACCGAGTTTCATATTATTACATGCAAGCGTGTTTGATTTATGGACCAAGTTTTCGGACCCCGTTCCAGGGGGCGCTGTCGAGCCCCCCTGCCACGCCCGGGTACCATCTTCAGCCCGGCCCTGATGGCCGCGGGTTCGGACCCGTGTGCAAAGTTTCAAGAGTTTTCGAGCACGTTAAGGGCCCCAAAAGTGCCCGAATAGTCGTAAGAAAAATATAGAAAATGAGTTTCCAAACAACCCATAATAACCGACTTCCTGTTGGGCTGACGTAAAACTTAGAGCATGAAAGTTGTTTGGCCCGATGAGATCTATAAGTGTACCGAGTTTCAGATTATTACATGCAAGCGTGTTTGATATATGGACAAGTGTTCAAACCCCGTTCCAGGGGGCGCTGTCGAGCCCCCCTGCCACGCCCGGGTACCATCTTCAGCCCGGCCCTGATGGCCGCGGGTTCTGACCCGTGTGCAAAGTTTCAAGAGTTTTTGAGCACGTTAAGGCCCCCAAAAGTGCCCAAAAGGTAGTAAAATAATAAAAAGAAGAATAAATATAGCTGCGAGCAGCGATTACGGGCCCAAGCCGGTGGCACCGCAACCCCGGTGCCTTTAGTTACCTAAAGGCACCGGAGTGGCGGTGCCGCCGGCTTTGGCCCTTCATCGCTGCTCGCAGCTATATTCATATATATATATATATATATATATATATATATATCTATATATATAAACAAGCCGGTGGCACCGCCACCCCGGTGCCTTTATATATATATATATATGTCTACATTGTTCAATCACGCCTCACACACACACACACACTTTTGCAGAGCCCACACCAATGCAAGCTCTATAGCACACATCTTCTCAAAGGTCAAAGCGGAGTTACGATATTGCCCGTCATGCACAGTAACCCTAAAGGCACCGGGGTGGCGGTGCCACCGGCTTGTTTATATATATATATCGTATTATTGTAACTTGTAAAAAACTATTAACTTTTGTTAATATTCAACCATTTCACAACTAACTTTTTTCCATAGATCAAACACAACATAATTATATGGTGGACTGAAACAAAAATTA